AAACAATTTCTTGCTGACGGTTTTCGTTTTGGTTTTCGTATTCACTTTGTTGGTGAGCGGTTTTCGTCTGAGTCTCCTAACCTTAAAAGCGCTCTGGATCAGCCAGTGGTAACGCATGCTAAGTTACGCAAGGAATGTGATGCAGGGAGAATTGTTGGTCCTTTCACAGCTCCCCCCTTTCCCAATTTTCGTTGCTCTCCACTGGGCATTGTTCCCAAAAAGGATCCATCTGAATTTCGATTAATACACCATTTATCTTACCCCAAGGGTTCTTCCGTAAATGACTTTATCCCGGATTATTGTTCTACCGTGAAATACGCATCGGTCGGGGATGCGGTGAAGTTACTCAAGCGGTTAGGAAAGGGTTGTTTTATGGCCAAAACCGACGTGAAATCTGCTTTCCGTATAATTCCTGTTCACCCTGCTGACTATTCCTTGCTTGGTTTGAAATGGGACAACATGTACTATTTTGATAGGTGTCTCGCGATGGGGCTTTCCAGTTCCTGTGCGATTTTTGAAGCATTTAGTACGGCACTTGAGTGGTTGTCCATCAATCATCTTGGTGCTTGCGCAGTATTACATATTTTAGACAATTTTTTGTTCATAGCCCAAAGCAAAGGACAATGTGAACACGACTTAGATAATTTTATTTTGATGTGTAATTATCTTGGCGTTCCTTTGGCCCCTGAAAAAACGGTGGGTCCCGCAACTGTTTTACAAGTTGCTGGAATTACGCTTGATTCTGTACGCCAAGAGGCTCGCCTACCAAAAGACAAACTTCTCAAGTGTCGTGCGATGTTACAAAATTTCCAGGCCCGGTGCTCCGTCTGCCTAAAGGAACTCCAATCACTGATAGGTTTATTGAATTTTACATGCCTCGTGGTTGTTTCGGGTCGCGCTTTTCTGCGTCGCATGATAGATCTTACCAAAGGCGTCAACAAGCCTCATCATCACATTCGTCTTTCGCGAGGCGCTAAATTAGATATCATGCTTTGGCTCCGTTTTCTTGACGATTTTAACGGGCGATCGTTTTTCTTTAGTGACGTTTGGGAAACATCGCAGAGTCTTCAGCTTTATACTGATGCCGCAGGTTCGATAGGTTTTGGTGCGGTCTTTGATCGCCATTGGCTTCACGGAACTTGGCTGAACCACTGGAAATCTTATAACATCGCGCTTTTGGAGCTTTTTCCCATTGTCATTGCTGTTCACATTTGGGGGCACATAATGGCAGATAAACGTATCATATTTTTCACTGACAATGCCGCCGTTGTTGACATTATTAATAATCAGACGTCTAAACACCAGGGTATCATGGTGCTATTAAGGGATTTAGTGCTAAGTTGCCTTAAACATAACATACTATTTCAAGCTCGCCATATTCCCGGGTTAATCAATTCTAGTGCCGATTACATTTCACGTTCCCAGGTAACAAAGTTCAAGGAACTTTCACCAGAAGCCGACCAGCTCCCGACCCCCATCCCCGAGAACCTATTGCCGAAGAGTTGGGTGCTAACTTGACAGGTCTACTAAATTCTACTCTCACAGCCAGCTCGCGGCGGCTGTATCAGCGTGCGTGGGTCGTTTTCCGCCAATTCTATGCTCACTTGGACATGTACGGTTCAACCAATCCTCCTTTACCTTTACCCCCTACTTGTATCCCTCTTTTTATTTCTTATCTCTCGTTTCGTAAATTGGCCTGTTCCACGATCAAATCATATCTTTCTGCCATTTCCTATGCACATAAGCTCAAAGGTTTTAATGACCCTACCAAATCTTTTCTAATTGACAAGCTGTTGACAGCTTTGAGCCGTCAGCAGCCGTCGGACATTCGTCTGCTAATTACACGGCCCATATTGCACCAGCTGATTCGCTCTCTTACTTTTTCTAACTCTTCGGCATTTCAGCGTTCTCTTTTTTCGGCGATGTTTCTTGTCGCGTTTTACGGTCTTTTTCGCATAGGTGAGCTGGCGTCCAAGAGCACACGATTTGCGCATTATGTCGTTCAGTACAGTAATCTCACATTCTTATTTCGTCAAGGCCAAGTGCAGGGGGCAAAGATTACTATTACCGAGTATAAACATAACGTTAGTCGCAGACCTTTTGACATTTTACTTGCAAAGGATGTCTCTTTCCCTTTTTGCCCTGTTACAGCCCTATATCAGTATTGTAATATCAGGGGAACTCGTCCGGGGCCACTTTTTTGTAACGCTGATCAGACAGCCATCTCTGTTCACCAATTCAATGTCGCACTTCAGCAGTGCTTATCTTAGTGTGGTCTGGACAGTAGTCGGTACAAGACTCATAGCTTTCGCATTGGCGGCGCCTGCCATGCCGCTGAAAAAGGTTATTCTGACGCGCAAATTCGTGCTCTTGGTCGCTGGAAATCCGACGCATTTAAAGTTTATTTGAGGTCGGAAGTTCTTCACGCTAATTAATTGATTTGCCCACGTGTCGAAAGTAGGTCAGACAATTGGGCTGCTACTTGGTGGGCTTAGACAACCATTTTTACCTGACCTTTGAGTTGTTAGTTCCTAATCTTATTCATTCTGCTTTTACGCCTGCTAAATAGGTCAGTCGTTGGGCTGCTATTTGGCTGACATTAGTTCTCGTTTCGTATGACTTAGTTCGTTCTGTTATTATGCCTTTTTGGTAGGTCAGTGATCGGGCTGCTACTTGGTTGGCATTATTTCTCGTTTCCCTTGTCTTAATGTTAGGCAGCTTTTTAGAACTTTTGTTCTTATGCTGGTTGCGTAGGTCAGTCATTGGTTGACAATTTTTAAGTCCGAATTTTGCTATCGATTATCATCTCTCTAATTTGTACCAGACGTTCAATTTCACGGTTCAGACAAGGGCTGCCGTTTCGTTGGTGTCACGTTCAGTATTGACAAATTTTTATTTTCTTCTTCTTCTTCTTCATAGTTTTAAAAGTGTCCAACAATTTTTCGCTTTCCAGCTTTCACGCGAGCTTTGCTTCTTTTGTGGGGCTTCAGCCACAGTTGTGTGGCTTGTGGCGGATTTTTGTCGCCCCATTTTTTATTCAGTAGGTTAATCGGTTTACATATATCGATGTGTTGTGATTCTGTTAGCTTTGATTTCATTAAACCTGCCACAACCGTGGCCAGATTTATCCAACACAGTTGTTTGTTTATATTTTAATTCTGTTCCTTGTCGGAAAGTACGTGACCGGAAATGCAAGCAGAGCTCGCGCAGAGTTGGGCCTTGTTTAGAACACATGCCTTGATATAAAAAAAATCATAACGATAATGCAATGCAATGATTACTACAGTCAATCAAGTGTCATCAACATGATTTGATAACAAATTATTACGTAAATCATTACATAATGAGACAAATAGCTGATTAAAGTAGACAAAATTTTGTTTGATTTGATTGTAGAATTTCTCCCTTGGGATTGAGTATTTTGGATAATGGAAGAGAAAATGAAATTCGTCTTCAGTTATACCAGAGTTACAAATAGGGCAGAATCTATCGTTGCTGGGAGTTTGATTATTTCTTCCAATTTCAATCATGAGTTTGTGGTTACTTGTACGAATTTTCACTAAGTCTTTCCTATTGGCAGAATTTCTAATTAAGTCTAAATAACTTGAAATTTTATAATCATGTTTAAACAAGCTGGAAAATTGTAGTTTCTTAGAATGATGGATTGTATGTTGGCAATATGTAATATATTTTTGTTTTATTATATCTATATAGTGTTTGATTTTAGCTTCACTTAAATTATTAGGATCAAAACCAGGCAGGTCATAATATTCAGATATTTTCATAAGATTATGGTAAAAGCTATTGTTACCATTACAGTGAAGTTCTAGCGAGGAACGAAAGCCTTGTTTAACAATAGTATCCTCTTTTTCACCAGAAGATACAATATGTAATAAAGAATGTTTTTATAAATATCAATAATTAATGGGAACCGTCCTAATTCACTTCTACTTGCAACATTTGAAGCTTTATCGCTTATTTCTAGGTAACGCTTGCAAAATTTCAAGTGGGTTTTTTCAACTGGGGTATTGTCCCAAGCTTTAAAATCATGTTTTACATATACACCCCAAATTTCGCTATTATATGATGATATTGGGGAAATCATCGCTTCAAATATTTTGCAAGCAAGGGAAGGTTTTAATTAGCTAAAGTTTGTGTTTCTTCTTAAACTAAAAAGAGCATGAAGAGCCTTCTCTTTCAAGTGTTCGAGTGAGATATTAAAATTACCGGTTGAGGAGATACGGGTTCCTAAATATGTATATTCATGGACAATATCAATGGTTTCTTTACCTATATGGAATTCTAAATTTCGTTTTTGAAAGATCATACCTTTGGTCTTTTTGGAATTTATATCTAACATCCACGAGTTGCAGAAAGAGGATAATGTGTTGAGACAGTTCTGTAATCCTATTTTAGATCGTGATATAATAATTAAATGATCAGCATATAAAAGCGAATTTAATTTGGTACCATTTGGAAGGATGATAGGGTCTGATAAAGTATTTTGAAATGCAGACGGTAAGTCATTATCGTATAAATTGAAAACTGAAGTAAGGCGCTTAAGGTCTCGGTAAAGGACAACGAGGTGCCCACAGAAAAAAATTCTAGTCGCGCGAGTTTTTCGCTACAAAGGCAAGTTATATACATGTATCAAATTAAAGCTAAAAGACTAAATTACCTTATAAAAGATTTTTTTTTATCGAATTTCAAAATGCGCTTAAGGTTTTTGCTCTCGAACTCAGAGGTATCGTTGTTAAATATTCACTTCCTTTTTATTGCGTCTGATTGACAGATAAAAGACCTAAAAAAGGGCGTGAGGAATTTTCCGATTTCCCTTTGTAACTCATCTTATGTCAGTTTCTTTGCGTAAATCGCGCTCGAGATTCGACTTTTTACTTTGAAATGCAATAATTCCGCTAATACGAGACATATGCAAAGTTTATGGTAAACAGGTAGCAGTGTTAGTGAGCTGGTGATATAATATAGAAAATAAAACCAAAATTTGTCTTTTTTACGTGAAAGCTGCTCGTAAGCTATGGTTTAAACAGGCTCCAGGCAATCATCTGATGGAAGAACAACAGCGTCGACAGCTGGTTACAAAAAGGAAAGTGGTCCGCATGCTCGTCATCATTGTTGTGGTGTTTGCTACTTGTTGGCTTCCCGCGCAGGTATTACACCTTTTCTGGGTAGCAACAACGTTTCGTGAAAACCTGCCAGAAATTGTCATGTACCTGGTATTTTGGGTGGCCCACGCAAACAGCGCCATCAACCCTTGGCTGTATATTCCCTTAAGCACCAATATTAGATTGGCCTTTAACCGGATGGTAATGTTCCGAAAATCTCATCCGGCCTTGAGGAAAAGTACCCAGGGAACGAGTCACTCAACTAAAGCCTCGACATTCCAGGAGGATAGGGTGTAATCATACGAACCAGGAAACCAAGAGTAGAAGGCATATGATTTTCAGCTAGCAAGTTGTTTCAAGGACATTCAACCTTTGCCCTTTTAATTCACGCAATAACTGCAGATTACTTAATGCAGTGGTAAGTAGTGGATGAAATAGAGATAAAGTCATCGACTAAAAATTTAAAATAGAGATTCCCTTGATGATTTTTGCAGGTAAATGTGGTATTAGTAGAATTTTTTTTAACGTATTTATTGGTTCAATATGTAAAGTACGGAACGTTTTCTTAAAAGTAAAAGAGCCTTGTAAAATGCCTTTTTAAACTGTAATGAGAGGTTGACACGTATCGGAGTAAACGCATTTTAGATCTATATTGGCCCAGTGCACTTACGCATTTTAAAATAACCTACTAAATTTAGTTTACTAACTGTTTTGTTGGATAATGTATTAAATAATGTATTGATTAAAAACATATAAACAAACAAAAAAACATTGATGATGACATGTATCTTAACATAGAAAATAGATGCTACTTGAAAGTCTTCAGCTTTGAGTAAATGAAAACCATGCGATGTCTGAGTATGTTTTCTTCGGGTCACTTTTCTTTGCATCCAATGTCCATTATCGGACATCTAGTGGGGCAATTCGCACGGGAATGGAGTCTCTGAGTCTTTGCATAATCCCTCGCCCAAACCAATGACAGGTTAGCTCAATTAGACCATGATGCCCTGAGTTTATGCCCTGCATTTCCAAACAGTTCCACGAGTTCATGTAATCTTTTCTTTTCTAGATTACAGGGTCGTTCAACAGCGTTGAGTCTTTGGTTTAAAATTGCAGTAAACTTGACTAAGTGACAATTCATCAATCCTGCAAAATTGGGAAGACTTTATTTACAACCTGAAGGAACTCTTTTTCGAAGAATTAAGTTCCACTACAATGAAGGGAAAATAATTTGTACTCCTCCTCCTAGTCCTTGTCATTTATCCCTATCACCCAATCGATTTTCTCATCTTGATTATTTTTTAACTCGTCCACCGATAAATCGGGTATCTCATTCTTAAATATAGCCTGGAAGTGAATTCAAATGTCACGTGTGCAGTCCTGTCCGTTTCAAGAACTAGTGCTGCTAAATATTCTAATTCATCGTATGATTATTAATCAGACTGAAACATTGTGTTTTACACCAGCCGTTGAAGAAAAACCGAAGCAATGATTGTGCCTTTCACCGTGTTGACAATCAACAAAAGTCGAGGAATTCTGGAAATCAATGTCCCAGTCACAAGCGAGTTTCATCAAAACGGTTGGAAAAGTGTCAACCCAAAGCGGTTTTGGTTGGAACCATTACGGTTGATCCTAATAGAGAACACGGCCTCAATAGCATTGATACCAGCTGCGATTTATTTATAACAATATTACTTTCACATATTGATGACATTAGATTTTGATCTGTGTTAAGCTTCAGCGTTGCTGAGGAAACCCGCTTAACAGGAAATGTCATAGCCTGCGTGGCTGGCGTTACTCGTAAAAGGGGAAGAGTAGGGGGAATTCGGGCGAGCGAGGAGAGGGAAGAGGGAATGCCTGCAAGAACCCTATAGTTTTTTTCAAACGACCTCCTAATTGATATTCAAAGAGAAGATGACTGTAAAATGTCCATCCAATCAAAAACGTTAACCGGAGCTCTGGGCTCTGTTTCAGAAAGAAAAAAACAAACAAACAAAAACAAAAGAAAACAAAAACCAAAATCGCATGGTGGGTCAGTTCACTGTGAGACCTAAACGGAGTCGCCAGAATAAAAGCAATTTAAAGGCAACACGAAATCCTGCAAAGTGATTCATTTGGCGTTATATGGGCTGAAAGACTAACAGATGTACAGTTGGAATTAAGCAGACAGGTGGTGAGACAACAGATCAGTTTTCAGGATCGCAAGAAAGAAAATACACTCAAATTTCCCAGCATCGAATATAATGTATGTTAGGCAGCCTCCTGACACTACTTATATTGATTTGAGTTATTAACAGCTTTTTTTATTAAACATTTTATCACTGCTGAAACCCCTCCCTAGAGTTGTTGACATGTAGCAGTATTTTGAAAAGATTTTACTTTCAATGGGAAACCTTTGATCGTCGCTACAAGATCAGATATATTTTATGAGTGGTCGTGCTGCTGGAGGCCTTGAATTTTACCAAGAATTATAAATCAGGTAAAAACTGACAGAATTGGTAATTTTTTGTGCTTGACATGTAAAATAACACATAAATAAGTATACCTGTTTTTATTGAAAACCGGGCTACTACAAAATGAGAGTCTCGCACTGATTGGTAATTTAATGGCCTTTCTTACTCGCAGATAAAAAGGATATTCTTGAATACAGGAGCTTTCCAGTTGATAGAGGTATCTGTCTTAAAGATGTCAAAAGTGAAGCTTTCCTCATAGTAGTCTGGAAAATAAGACATTTTGAGGGACAGTTCTAGTGTTAGCGTCACCGATTGCAATTTTCCCCAATTCATCCCATTTTTCATTGCCACTGGTCTCCCAAATACAATCCACAGCAACATTGCTCAAAGAAACGAAGGGTCCTAAAACCTCTAATTTAACTGCTTGTTGACTTGGAACATTAGCAACAGTGTTTCATTGCTTGCATGCAAACTGCACAAAAACTGCATTCCAGTGCTGTAACACATGAAACTTTAAAACAACCCCAAACCCTTGGTATTTAACCGGATTACCCCAGATGCATACCAGCTGATAGCCCTGTCTTTACAGCAAGCGGACAGCTAATTAGACACAAGTCCTCCCTTCCCCCTCAATTTGATCATTACGCGCCAAAATTGTAATCGTTGGCAACATTATTTGAGTTAAAAATCATCATTTTTGTGCTCAATTATCTCACTGTTTTAGTATATATTAAAACAATCATTCACCTCAGTGTCGGTGGCTAGTCGTGCTTCGCAGTTCGATAAATATCCACCACGACTAGCCACCTCCACTTCGGTGAATAATTGTTATATATTACCTTCTTTTAATATTTTGAGCGATTATTTTTATTTCACTGAAATTGGTGGCAGCTGCTACTGTTTAAATTTGATAAATTTCGTGATACCGTCCCTTCTTTAAGGAATTTATTGATTCTAAACATTAGAGCTAGCGATTCTCGTAACATTAGTGCTCCGGCGAGCAAAATGATTGGAGTAAAACTGAATAATCGGGAGGCCCTCTATCGTGAAGTGACCAGTTTTCTCAATATGAAAGTAAATGGTGAACTTCGTTGGTGCAATACACCGTCAATATTCAAATGAGGAAGACAAGACACTCAGGAACCCTGGGCACTGAAACCAACCTTTCGTCTACACAACAATTTAATATCCTCCGTCGAATATCCCCTTAGAAATTCAACTGATATATTTCCTTTTCATCAACATTACAGGGAGCTTAAGCAACGACGACGGCGACGGCAACGAGAACGGCAAAAAAGCAATAGGCTTAGATTAGCAAAACAACAACTTTGCACATGCATCACGCTTTTTTGTACATTTCTTTGCTGTCGCTGCACGACTACAAAGTGAAAGTGCCTAATTTTACGTGTTGTCGAGGATGTGAACACAAGACGATGACTTCTTTTTTTCCTTTCCTGAACTTCGATACAGTCTTTTTAGAATTCAACTCCAGAAAAATAAGCCAACATTTGACGAATTGAACGAGTTGGAATAAGTGCGATAAAGTTTGAAGTAGCGCAAATTCACTTTTTGAGTGACGTTTTCGTAGCCATCGCCACCGTTGTTCATAACAAACAAAACTTAAATAAGTACCCCTGAAAAAATCGCTTTTTCGAGGTTATTTTCGGAATAATTCAAAATGGTCCAGAATGTAGTCCTTTATGCAGGACGCTGGCGGAACGCTCCTTAAAGAGAAGAGGCTCACATGTATGTCATCTTCATTTTGGAAAATCCCCTTGTCGATGTCAGGAACTCATTGATTTGATTTTCAGGTTATCACTTTCAATTTCACATTTATTTTGTTCCGCTTATTAAAATCATAATTACGCATTTTATTTAGAACCCATTTAACTGGTGTATTTACAACGAGGAAGGCACAAAAGTGAACTAAACTATTTTCGAAGTTGTTTCCCTCATTTTTCAAAAAGACTGACTGAGAAAAGTTGATTAAGAATGCATGCAATCTATATGAGTGCAGAAAGTCACTCAGTACCGTAAGGGAAAGCACGCTGATATCATCGCTTGCCGGACAAATGTATGTCCCTTAGTTGGCTTAAAAAGAGAACAAAATATCGCTGTTGGGCTCCTGTAATCTGAATCATGGATTCGATCTTTTTTTCTTTTTTTAAAATAAACTTAACGGTATTAATATATCAAACCTTTGGATGTTGGTTAAATTGCCTTCTTGAAGATTTAAATCCTTTTCTTATAAAGCTAAAATTCACAGTCTGATAAATTTGGCAAAGCTTCCGTGTTTACAAAGTTGGTAGGATTATTTCTATTTATTTAGCTAAGGTTTATGAACTTTTGGACAAAATAGATGCCCAACCATCCAAGTACTATTAATTCAAAGGGTGCAGAGCAGTTTGGTGATGCAGCAGTCCTGGAGACTCCTAAAAAAACTCTGTTTTCGAATTGGCCTTTGAATACACAGCTGCTATTGTCTTGAATAGGAACGGCGGCCAGTCTCAGAGCATCTTAGACTGTTCACAGTCCCCTATTTTTTCGTGAGAACGTCGAGATATAGCGCGTCTTACCGTTAATAGCGGCCATCTGGATTTTCAAATGTACCGAGGGGAAGAGCGTCGAGGATTAGAGCTGTAGGGGGAGGGGGGGCGAGAAAAATAGGGAAAAAAAATAAATACATAAACATAAAAAATATATATTTTTCTCTTTTCCTCCCAAACCGCCCCCGCCCCCTATACTAAGTAG